CCCCATGCCTCTCGTTAAGTAATACATAGAAACAAACACAGGGAGGCAGCCAAAATGAGGAGACAAAGAAACAGGTCCCAAATGAAAGAACAGAACAAAACCCCAGGAAAAGAACTAAGCAAAATGGGGATAAGCAACCTGACAGATGCTGAGTTCAAAATACTGCTTATAAGGATGCTCAATGAACTTAGTGAGAACCTCAGTGAACTTAGTGAGGGCCTCAAGAGCATAAAAAAGGACCAGTCAGAAATGAAGGAGGCACAGTCAGAAATGAAGGAGGCGCTAACTGAAATAAAGAATAATTTACACAGATTCAATAGTAGAGTAGGTAAAGCCAAGAAGCAAACCATCGATTTGGAATATAAGGAAGCAAAAAACACCCAATCAGAACAGCAAAAAGGAAAAAGCATCCAAAAAAAATGAGGATAGTGTAAGGAGCCTCTGGGACAATTTTAAGTGTGCCAACATTCACATCTTGGGGGTGCCAGAAGGAGAAGAGAGAGAACAAGAAATCGAAAACTTATTTGAAACAATAATGGCAGAAAACTTCCCTAACTTGCTGAAAGAAACAGACATACAAGTCCAGGAAGCACAGAGAGTCCCAAACAAGATGAACCCCAAGAGGCCCACACCAAGACACATGATCATCAAAATGCAAAAGTTTCAAGACAAAGAGAAAATCTTAAAAGCAGCAAGAGAAAAGCAGTTAGTTACCTCTAAGGGAGTTCCCATTAGACTGTCAGCTGATTTCTCAAAAGAAACTTTGCAGGCCAGAAGGGAGTGGCAAGAAATGTTCAGAGTGATGAAAAGCAAGAAACTACAACCAAGATTACTCTGTCCTGCAAAGCTGCCATTTAGAATCAATGGCCATATAGAGTTTCCTAGACAAGGAAAAGCTAAAGGAGTTCATCACCACCAAACCATTATTATATGAAATGTTGAAGGGTCTTCTTGAAGAAAAAGATAAAAATATGAACAAACAAAATGGCAATGAATACATAGCTATCAACAACTGAATCTTCAAACAAAATGAACAAGCAGAACAGAAACATTCTCATAGATAACAGAGAACATTTTGTTGGTTGCCAGATAGGAGGGGGGATGGGGGAATGGGTGAAAAAGGTGAAGGGATTAAGAAGTACAAATTGTTTGTAGACTGACAAATCTCAAAGGGAAGGGGTTTTGGGGGTGGGAAGAAATAAACCAAAGAACTTATATGCATAACCAATGGACACACACAACAGTGTGGGAAAAGGCAGGAGGGGAGGTCAATGGGAGAAAAATGAAGAACATCTGTAATACATTCAATAATAAAGATATAATTTTAAAAAATCAATAAAAACAATTTTTTTTAAATAGCACATTAAAAAAAAAAAAACATGGGAGAGACATTTGTATGCTTTAGTGCTGATGGGGATAAGCCAGTAGACAGACTAAAGACACAGGAAGAAAGAGGGTAAGTAATACTAAGGTTCTTGATGATGCTAAAAAAGACTAATTGGAATCCAATGTGCAGGTGGAAGGTTTGACCTAAGCTGTAACCAATACCTCACTCATTTTAACAGAGGAAAAGAGGGATTTCTGGCCTGTAGGCTTCTTTTTTCTCTGTGAAATTGAATGTATATTCCTTAAATAAAAGAATCAAGTATTACTTTCTTTTTAATCCACTGAGGGAGAGTGTAATATCATGCATATGAGAAATATCCAATAAATATTAGGGGGAAAAGCTACGTTTCTACACAAAGCCCATCCTCATAACTACAACTAATAAAACTGCTAATTAGGTCCCAACAGCCTAGTTTTCCATATAAATGAGGTGTGGTGTTAAGTGAAGATTCACTAATCCCAGGGCTCCAAAGCATTGGTATTTGAGCAATCACCTCAGAGTAGTTACACCAGACAGAATGTTTTAGGACAGGTGATGGGAGACTTATCTTAAGGGTTTCTCTGGTTAGCCCTGGCCAGTTTGGCTTCAGCAGTTAGAGCATCAGCCTGCGGAGCAGAGAGTCCCAGGTTTGGTTCCCACTAAAGGCACATACCTCAGTTGCAGTTTGTACCCAGCCCTGGTTGAGGTCGTGTGGGTGGCGACCACTCGATGTGTCTCTCTCACTCTTCCTCCCTCTCTCCCTCCCACTCTATCTGAAGATAAATGTAAAACTATCCTCGGGTGAGGATAAAAAATTTTTAAAAAAGAGTTTCTCTGGTTTAACAAAGGGGCACTCACAAGGAGGTGACTATTTCAACTATCAGACTAACAACAAAAGCTGGGATACCACCTGAAATGACCAACATAGATGGGTGTTTTCTATCTACAGGTAGGGCAATAAAAACAATTCGGTAATCTCCAACCAGCATTTTTTTAATGAAACAGAACAGATTAAAATAATAAAACAAATGAGAGAATCGCATGTAGTTAAGATAAGACTTGTTTCATATACATATCAGAACAAAATATAAAAAAATATTTCTTACTGTGGCTGGAGCAATGATAAAGTATAAAAGTTACTGATACTATGATGCAGAAAGACAAAGGCTATAAAGCTATTTCTATACAGCTATAAATTATACAGATATAAATCACAAGACTATTCCCAAGCATATAACTAGAAAAGATGTCCAGTTATACATATTCTCTCATGCAGGCACACTTCAGAAATTGCAGGTTTGGTTCCAGACCACCATAAAGTAAGTGCTGCTATAAAGCGAATTGTAATGTTGTTGCTGGTGGAGGGGCTTGCCTTACATTTGTTAAAAACAAACAAACAAAAAACCCCACCAACATCTGTGGAGCGCACTACAATAAGGTATGCCTGTATAAGAGCACTCACCCACCTGATTATGCAAATAAACACATTATAAACCTGGAGGGAGAGCTCAGCTTGCCATGATTCAATTTTCCCTCTAAAGTACAATACTTATACCTGAACGTCCTGGCCTTCCTAACATCAGCTATGCACTCCAACATCTAAATTACTTTGTATGGGTGGGTGTATAATTTGCATGTATTTAATTTTTATTATCCTTTCTTTTTCTTTATTGTTGAGATTACAGACATCCCTCCTTATTTTTCACCCATCCCCCTCCACCCGGCTCCCACCCAACTCCAGGCCTTCAAATACTCTCAAATCACTCATTTGAAGAAAAAGGTCCCTGAAGTAGAGATAAAACATTAAGTCACAAATATGGACAAGCTTTCCCCTTCATCTGCTATATAATATTCTATTTAATGAGCTCCACTTCACTAATTATTTTTAAAGTTTCACTGATTATGAAATCTGCCATCTACCAAAAAATCCCAACTTACACTACATTGTATACATTAAGTTTACATTCCATCCAAAGACCTAAGCAGATGTTCAATAAGTGGGGTCCTCAGACCCCTGGGATCCTTAAGATCCTTTGAGAGGGTCTGTGATGTTAAAACTATTTTCAACCCTGGCCGGCTTAGCTCAGCGGTTAGAGTGTCGGCCTGCGGTCTAGAGAGACCTGGGTTCGGTTCCGCTAAGGGCACATACCTTGGTTGCAGTTTGTCCCCGGCCCTGGTTGGTCGTGTGGGTGGCGACCACCCGATGTGTCCCTTTCACGTCGATGTTTCTCTCTCTCTCTCTCCCTCTCTGTCTCTCTCTTCCTCTCTCTCCCTCCCACTCTATCTGTACAAAAAATGGAAAAATGTCCTCGGGTGATGATAAAAACAAAACAAAAAACTATTTTCAATATGAAGGTACTGTCTGCCTGTACACTCTATGGCCATTTGCACCAAGGATGAAAAGCAATGGTAATTCTCCTGGTGCCTTGGCAAGTATACCTAAAGCACTTCTCATTTATATGGAAGTATGATGGTTGTCTGGAGGCAAAGCACTTGCATGATTAAGCTGCAAACCAAGTTAGATGCTTTTATCATGGAATATCATTTTTACATGAAAGAATACTTACAAAAAACTATAGTAATTCAGACTTAGACAACTTCCCAAAAGTAAACAAAGTGACCCTGACGTTCTAGGAAACAACTGATGGTATTTACTGCCTATGATAAAACTCCAGCTTTCAAGTGAAAATTAAAATTGTGGAGATCTTAGATTTGTTATCATGAGCTTGATGGTGTCCCAATACTCAAAGATGTCCCTCTTGACATCATGGTGATATTAAATAACGTGATTTTTAAAATATGGTGTAATGAAACATCAACATTTGAAAGATCTGCATAACTCAGTGAACCAATACTTTCAAATAATCAGTGAATTAATATATAAATATTTCTAAAGCTCAGCTTTAACTTCTAATATAGTAAATATCGATAAACACCTAAACAAAAGCCCTTTGGATCCTCAGCAATTTGGAAGAGTGTAAAGAGGTCCTCACACCAAAAGCTTTGAGAACCGGTGATCTAAGTCACTGTTATGCAATAAAGTAATGGAGATCAATCAACTTCAGGAAGTTCTTAAAGCATGTCATTCTTTCTCCTCTTTCTTGACTGTTTATCCAACAGTTTTAGCCTTGCTTTCAGTGAAGAACTGACCAACAGACCTTTCTAAGAGTACTGGGGTGTGGGGGTGAGGAAAAGTAATAAATAACCGGTGTTACTAGTAGGAATGAATCAAAGATTTTTAAAAACTAATCCTGCGTCTGCCCTTCCTCTGTGTTTCAGCTGGGCACAAACCCTTAGTAAAACCACCGACGTGAAGGACCAGAAAAACGGGGGCAGAATTGCGAAGAATATGGACACACGGGAGTGCGTAGAAGGGGCAGTTAGGGAAACTGAGGAAATAAGGGAGCAGGTGGAGAAATTCTGGCCAAAACCTTGGGCTTTCCTGCAGCTCCCCCACTTCCTAAGGCTGCCGAATACAGTGTCAAGGGGAGAACCAGGGGGGCCGCTCCAGGGAAGTGGGGGGCTCTCGCTCACCCCACGCCCGCCCGGAACCCCCTCAGTGCCCGTCCCCACTCCCATCCTCCCTCTCCGCCGCCCCTACACACCGCCGCGCCCTCGACCCAAGGCTCCTCACCGCCAACAGGTTCCTGTCCTCCACCAGCTGCCGCTTCCGGAGGATCTCCGACTTCAGAATGTCCATGTCGTTGCCCGGGTTTAAGCTCGAGTTTCCCTCTCTGGCTCCTCCGGCCAAGCCTCCCCAGCCGGGTGGTGGAGCGAACCCACCGAACACTGCGAACCCAAATATAAACAGACAAGCCTGACAGGCGCGCTTCCGGCGGAAGTTGTGATGAGCGAGAGAAGGAAAGAGAGCGCCTCAGGACGCCTGTGGTGACAAAGCCGCTGTGCATGAGCGGCCCCTGGTGGCGCCCCCCGGCAGCGCGCCTGTAGTTTCCACGACCACAGATACAAATGAATGTGGGCTGAAATGCGATTCTTCTGAATCGTGTGGAGGTCCACCGGCTTTATTTTTAATGATGTTATTGTACCTGCTAGTTCAGGTCCAAAAACCTCCTAGCAGAACACCTCAGTTATGTTAAATAAGGCCAGATCCTTACTTACCATACCAGAAGTTCACATCAGGGTCTCTGAAGTTACCTGCTTGCCAAAATTAATGTAGTAGAGAGGGAGTAAACCAGAATATAAAGTAAAAGGGCAGTGTTCATTGCTAGCCTGTTCAATTCCCTGAAAAGTTAAGCAATTACACACATTTAAGTCTTTTTCAAAAGTAAATTTGTTTTTCCTCTCTCAGTTCTAGATTGCTTATATATCTTAGTGATAATTGAACACTTATTCCAAGCTGAGAATATCTTTTTGGTCATGTGTTCAGCAATCAAGATTTTCAGTGACATGATTGAAGAACTAATCAGAAATTCTTTTTTTTTCAGTCCAACCAAAGAACAAAAATACATTGGGGAGAAAAATTACATCAGAGATTGTAATGTTAAAAAGACATTTAAAATTGTTTACAATGCATGTATTTTTGGTTCTATGACATTGAATCTTTTTTTTTTTTTAATTCTACTTAAGCCCAGCTGGTGGGACTCAGTGGATTGAGCATCTGTGGACTGAGAGGTCCAGGTTCCATTCCCTCTCAGGGCACATGCCTGGGTTGCTTGCTCACAGTAGGGGGCATGCAGGAGGCAGCTGAGCGATGTTTCTCCCTCATTAATGTTTCTATCTGTCGCTCCCTTTCTCTCTAAAAAAATCAATGAAAACATATTTCAAAAAAATGTTTTTAGTTCTACTTAAGTCATCACTGAACAATATTTGGCATGGCAGTTTTTCCCACTTTTCATTCAATTGATCATGGGTAAGATGGTTTATCAAAATAAAAGATGAGAGAGAATTGTTTATTTCAATTTAAGTGTTTTATTGTATACATGTGTGTTCGTTATATTGCCTCTAAAAGATATCTGACTTTTGCTAAAAATAAATTAATATAGAAAGTTATTCTCTTTCTCACTTAAAATGCTTTGCTAAATTTTAGAGCTTTTGGAAGCTTAAGATATTTTACAAAGAAAAGATCCTTGAACTAATAAATATAGTAACAGTCTTACATGGATATCTGTTTCCTGAGTCACTTATAATTTAACAAGTAAATAATAATTTATTAGGATTTTCCATCAGTGATTCTCAAGCAGAGAGAGATTATGTTTCTCAGGGGACACTTGGCAATGTTTAGAGACATTTTTGTTGTCAGAATTGTGAAAAGTGTGTTATTGGCATCTAATGGGTAAAGTCAGGGACCCCTCCCAAGAATGATCTGCCCAAGGTTGAGAAACCCTGGTCTGTATTATTAACATTTTCTCTATAACTTTTTAAAGTTTAGACAATCAACACAACAATAGATCAAGTCCAAGTTTGTAGCATTTGCCTGTTTCTGTGACACGTTCTCACTATGGCTGATTTCCAGCTACCAGTAGGACATCCTCAAGTGTGGAATGGGCAGAAGATACGAAGTAGCCATATTATATAGTATTTCCACCACAAAGATGCAATAGTAACTCCAAGAGCATAAATAATAGTAAAATGTAGTAATATAATTGGTAATAGATTCTGTGTATTTATTATCTTTGTAACAGAATGTGTTTAATTGTAAATAAACATTTAATTTTTAATAGTGGCTACACTTAACAGCAGACTCACAAAATTCTTAAAAATTTAGCCGTGGGTTCTTGCAGGTCAGAATGGACTGGTCTGGAACCAGCATGCCACTGGCATAACTCTACTATCCATTTTCTAGGAAACCAGCTCTGACTGACCCAGACTGGGTTGGTACCTGTCCAGGTATTCCCACACAAAGCAGGCATGTGACTGGCTGCATCCAGAGGGAGCCTGCTACCTTCCATTAAGAAATTGATGGCGGTGTCACTGTGAGTGGGCGGGTGCCCTGAGAGTCACCCCTGACAGTGCTGCAGACACTTGCCTCCTGCTCCACTCCTGTTCAAGACTCCATGTAGACTGAGTTTCTGACTCACCCACCCTTTTCTTCTGGAGGGATTCCAAATTAATACATCAGATCTGTGGTTCTCAAAGTGTGGCCTCTGGGAACTTGTTGAAAAAGCAGCTGCCTCATTTGGGAACTTGTTGAAAAAGCAGATTCTTGGGCCCCACCTCAAGCCTCCTGAATGAGACATATACTCTGGGGATCAGGACCAGCAGTCTGGGCTTAAAAATGTTCTCCAGGTTATTCCGAAGATTTAGGGCCACTGTATTAGATTATATAGTTTTTTTAAGTTACATTCTATCCCTTAGGACAGCAACAAAACAAACCAGGCCATCCTGATCAAATTTGGTATTTTCTCCAGTCTCCAGAAATGATAAATAATCTCTTAGGATGAGTTACTACAACAGAGGAATAATCTCATCCATCATATATTGAGTCTTACTATTTCTTCTTTTAGAAGATGACTTGTCTTTAATTTCTTTGAATGCTTTGTTATAGCCCCATATATGCTATTAAATCATATTTATCTTACCTAATTTACCTTTTTAGGATCTATTTCTTGATTCTCAAGTTAGCTGGGAATATCCTCAAAGGTAGGACTGTTTTGGTTTTTTTTTCTTTATTGACTTTAGAGAGAGAGGAAGGGAGAGGGAGAGAGAGATAGAAACATTGACGAGACAGAACATTGATTGGCCACCTCCTGCATGCTCCCCATTGGAGATTTGGCCCACAACCCGACATGTGCCCTGACTGGGAATCGAACCGACAACCTCTTAGTGCATGGGTTGATGCTCAACCACTGAACCACATTGGCGGGACAAGGACCATTTTTTTTTATATTTGGTTTGGGCCATTAAATCTAAGGTAATATAGCCCTGGCCGGTTTGGCTCAGCGGTTAGAGCATCGGCCTGCGGTCCCGAGAGACCCGGGTTCGGTTCCCGCTAAGGGCATGTACCTTGGTTGCAGTTTGTCCCCGGCCCTGGTTGGTAGTGCGGGTGGCAGCCACTCGATGTGTCCCTTTCACATCGATGTTTCTCTCTCTCTCTCTCCCTCCTACTCTATCTGAACAAAAAATGTCCTCGGGTGAGGATAAAAAAATAATAATAATAAAAAAAAAAATCTAAGGTAATATAGAGATAATAAAAAATATTTAAATATTGATTGAATAATTATAAAGATTAAATATATATATTGTTTAATCCTTTGCTTTCTTTAACTGGAATTATTTAAAATTTATCATACACAATTTCTAAAGTAATTTTGATTGAAAAATTTATGAATAATTTTAATAATAATTTAATAAAACAGAAAGTGACTGTAATCAGTATATATTTTTTTCCAAATTATGGAATTCATTAACAAATTGTGGTATACAGAAGAAAAGAAAAATCACCAGTGGTACTATTGACAGATAACAACATTATATTTTTATATGTTTCCTTCCAATCATTTTTCTAAGTTTATACGCTTTTCTTACCAATAGAGACAATATGTTGTATTTCTATTTTGTTTACCAATATATCACAAGCACTCTGATATCATGGAATATTTTTTGAATCATGGTTTTTAATGTTCCACATTATTCAGTTGTATGTATGAAGTATAACTTATTTACTCATTTTCCCATTTAGGACATCTGGGTTTTTTGCACGATTTAACTTTTGTAATTCTATTGTGATGTAATGGGATGCACATATTAAAAATGAATACATTCTCCCTTCAAGTCAGGATTGATTGGTTCTCTTGGGTGTTTCTGAACTCTCCTGGTCATCTTTATTCCTCTTCTATATTGAAAAGCTTACTCATCGGTTTGCTTGTGCAAGTACTCACCTCTCTTATGTCTTCCATCTCAGGCCTTAATCAAGATTTAATGCACAGGTTTACATAAACATCCAAGACAGTGGAAGTCTGAAATATAATAGGAGCCTGCTTATGGTAGCTCATGTTTCTCTGCTTTATACTAATTTTCTCCCCTCTGGTCAGCGGTTCCACTGCGTTCTCTGTGAATCTAACTTCACATAGATATATAGTTGGAAAACAGAAGAGTATGTTAATCAGATAACTGTGGGCATTCTTCTTTGATACTACACCCAAACATGACAAGTAATAGTTTTCTAAAAATTAGTTGCAATGTGGAATCTGAAACCATTTGTAAACTTTTCATACTGTTTCATTAGAAGTCTACTGGTCTATTTTGAACTTTGAATGGATCTTTTACTCATGCATGATTTTGTGACATCATGCATTGCTTATTTGGAACATATTAGTTCACTGATTTATATAGATCTTCCAAATGTTGACATACTTTATTACACAGTATTTTAAAGATCATTTTAATTGCCCGGCTGGTGTGGCTCAGTGGTTGAGTGTTGATCCATGCACCAAGAGGTCGCCGGTTTGATTTCCGGTCAGGGCACATGCCCAGTGTGGGGCATGCAGGAAGCGGCCAATCAATATTCTCTCTCATCGATATTTCTATCTCTCTTTCCCTCTCCCTTCTTCTCTCTCATATCAATAAAGAAAAAAAAAATTTTTAATCACTTCAATCAATATCATCCCCTTCATCTCATCAGAAAGAACTTTCAGTGATTGGGAGGATAATAAGCTCATGTTGGTGGATACAATTTGCTAATTGTAAAATGTTAATATTTACTGAAAGCTCATATTTTATAACTAGCAAGAAATATGGTCAGTAATTTTTTTTTAAGTGACAGGCTCACTTTGTTTATTTGCAAGATGACATCTGCCAAATACTCAAGTCTAAATGTCTATAATTTGTCCCTTGGTTACTCTTCAAGCAAAAATAACATTCCATTA